GAGGCGAGGAAAAAGGGGTGCCTCCGCCTGGAGACTCAGAGCTGGGCATTCCTGGTTATGAGTGGGTCAAACGCGAAATGGCCAGGTTTGCGAGTGTCTTTGCTTCTAAACCGGAGGTTGATGCGCTGTGGGAGACGCACAGAATTTGTGACCCCTCCGTCTCTCGGATGGTCCGACTGGAGCCTTGTTCGGCTGGCGAGGTTGTGTACATGAAAAGGTCTACTGATTCCCCCTCATTTTATGTATATGAGAGCTTTTTCAGAGATTTGGGTGTTTGCCTTCCCTTTACGCAGTTCGAATGTGATTTTTTGAACTATATTAATGCTGCCCCCAGTCAGTTGCATCCCAACAGCTGGGGCTTTTTGAGGGCGTTCGAGATCTTGAGTGGAGTTCTAGGGATGGAGGTATCCCTGCAAGTCTTCCTTTCTTTTTACCAGTTGAAGGTAGGTGGTCCTACGTACGGGACCTTGTCTTTAAATGGAGGTAAGGAGGGGGGTCTGTTTACTCCCTACTCCCCTTCATATAAAAATTATAGGGAGGAGTTTTTTCGGGTTACTCTTGCTGGTGTCAACCCTTTGGAGGACGGGGGATTCTACTTTGGCGGGCTGCCAAGGTTTCCTTTCTATTGGTGCCACGACCCTGTTGGGTTTCATGGGGTGGATCCGTCGAAGTTAACGCTGTCGGAGACGGCTGCTGTTGAAGCTTTGAAGGCACTTCTTCGTCCGCTGGACTGCAAGCTCATCCTGTCGCTCGAGCGTTCGGCGCACAGGGAGAGAGACTTGGAGGGTGCGTATTTTGTTGTTTTCGTTTAGCTGTTGGGGTTTTATGCCTGCTGATGTGCTCTGATTTCTGTACTTAGGTATTGTGGGAAGGGACCTGTGGCGTGGCTGGAAGCAGCGCTATGGCTACAATGTGGCCGAGCTTGAGGGTCCTGAGGTCCAGGGGGAGGAGGAGGTTTCCCCCCTAAAGATAAACCGGAAGAGGAAAAGGGTCCCGGCGGAGACCGGGGGAGTCGCTGCCCCTCACGAGGCGGAGGGGGTCGTTCCAGGGGCCTTCGGTGTCGAGGAGGCGGGCTCAGCTGGGACCTCTCTGTTGGAGGGGGGGGCTCGGGTGGCGGAGCCGGATATCGAGACCCTCCGCCCTTCTGCTAGAGTGCCTGTGCAGGCTGCTGGTCGAGGGGTAGGGACTATTTGTCACCTTGTTAGCTTTCCCTTTGCATGCTTTTGCTTAGTGTTTCTGATTTGAGATCGTTCCTCGTAGGTGGAGGCTGTCGTTGGGTCGACTTCCTGGGCCGTTGGCTAGGCTGGTGTGTCTTCTGAAGCGGAGATTCCGACCGTTGGGCGGCTCGCTCCTGTTGTTGAGGTGGGCAACGTGTGGCTGTGATCCGCTACATTGTTGCGCCTCTTGTTTAGTTGGTGAAATTTTTTTATTTTTTGCTCTCTATTTTTTGTAGGCGGGGAGGACTGCAGGGGTTTCTAATGGTCGAAGGTCACCGGTGGTGGGGGGTAACGTCCCGGCGACTGGACCAGCGGTTGGGCCGGTGGCCTCCTCCTCCTCAACCGGTCGTCGTGGTGAGGGCTCTGGTTCTGGGGCTCCGGCTCCTGCGCCTGCGACGAGGGGGCCGCCCAAGCGTCCCTACCTTGCGTATCGTTATGCGCAGGAGGGTGCGCCAACACGGTTGGAGCACCTGAGTGCGTCAGAGGGGATCGACTCTTGGTGGAGCGCCTCGCTGACGCCTGAGAAGTTTTTTCCGCAGGGCTCCTTGAGTGCGGCCGATCAGGCGATGTTCGAATCCGCCGGGCCCGTGGCAAGTTTTGACGCTGCCCAGATCTTTTTGCAGAGGGGCACGACCATTGTGGATTATTGGAAGCGCAAATGGTCCCGGCAGCAGGAGGAGTTATCAAGGTTGAAGGGCCAGGTGCAGCCCTTGATGGAGGAGAATAAAATTCTGGCCGCCACTCTGTCCGAGGCGAAGCTGCAGGGGGTCGAGCTTCAGGCGGCGCAGAGGGATCTTGCCGAAGCCCGGGGATCGTTAGAGGTGGCCCTCCGTTCTAACGAGGCTTATGCTAGCCAGGTTCGCTCTCTGGAGGAGGAGATATCCTTTTGGAAGGGTGAACTGGCGTCCGTATCTGAGGAACGTCTTTGCGACGAGGTGGTCCTCAGTACTAAGGAGGCGGAGGTGGTCCATCAGAGGGAGAGTCTTTCGGCTCTAGAGGCCGAGAATGCAGCGTTGAGGAAGAGACTCGAGGAAGTCGAGCGCTCAATCGTGGTGGAACATAAGAGGGGCTTCCTTAAGGCGGCCCGGCAGGCTAGGCTCCTTGCGCCGGGGTTCGACCTTTCCGGGATGCACTTGGAGAAGGTTGTCCGCTTCGGGCGGTTAGTCCGGGAGGACGACGTCGAGGAGAGTTCTAGTGACAATGCCTCTGTATAGGATAATTTTTGCATTTCCTGTTTCTGACTGTCTTTATGAATTATACTTCTCAGTTATGCAAGTTTTGTTTAGGTGTTGCTATTTCCACCCTGATTTTTGTTACGACGAAGTTCAGATTGGCTTTTTGCCCTGTGTTTTTGGTGGTGAGGTTTATTTGCAACCGTTAATAATGAGGTTTCTTTTTGTCTTGTGACGGGGTAAGATGGGGTTCGTTTGCGACCTCTATTTGAGTGAAGTGAGGTTCGTGTTCGACCTTCATTTGGGTGACGTGAGGTTCGTGTTCGACCTCTATTTGAGTAAAGTGAGGTTCGTTTTCGACCTCTATTTGAATGAAATGAGGTTCGTTTTCGACCTTTATTTGAGTGAAATGAGGTTCGTTTTCGACCTCTATTTGAATGAAGTGAGGTTCGTTTTCGACCTCTATTTGAGTGAAATGAGGTTCGTTTTCGACCTTTATTTGAGTGAAATGAGGTTCGTTTTCGACCTCTATTTGAATGAAGTGAGGTTCGTTTTCGACCTCTATTCGAGTGAAATGAGGTTCGTTCTCAACCTCTATTTGAATGAAGTGAGGTTCGTTTTCGACCTCTATTTGAATGAAATGAGGTTCGTTCTCGACCTCTATTTGAGTAACCGGGTAACAGCACCGTAAGGGTTTTCGAATATATAAAAGAAACGAGTCATTTTATTGACGAAAGCCGTGTGCCTCATTAAAAACCCTTCTCAGTTAGTGTGTTTTTCCTGAGGTGGGAAAAGAGTGCACCGTGTATTTGTACAAAGTTTAACTGAAGTAAAATTTGAGGTGGGTAGCGTTCCAAGTTCGTGGAACGGACTTCCCGCTGAGCTCCTCTAGCCGGTAGGCTCCGTTTTCCAGGTTTTCTACGACTTGGAATGAGCTGCCCCAAGTGGATGCGAGCTTCTCGTCTGACTCGTCCTTTCGTGCTTCTCCGAGTAGCCGCCATACCAGGTTGCCTTCCCGGAAAGACCGGGTTTCACCCGGGAGTTGTATCTCCGGGCGGCCCGGAGTTTGCAAGCTTCTGCGTGGATTTGGGCTTCGTCTCGGAGCTCGTCTAGCAGGTCGAGGTATGTTGCTAGCTCGTGATTATTTTGTTCGTTGTTGAAGACTTGGCGTCGGTGGGATGTTTGTCCGACCTCTATCGGGATCATTGCGTCGACTCCATAAGTTAGTCGGTAAGGTGTTTCTTGCGTGGTTGACTGTGGGGTGCAGTGGTATGCCCAGAGGATGCCGGGAAGCATGTCGGGCCACTCCCCTTTTGCGTTCCCTAGCCGTTTCTTGAGTTCCCGGAGGATGACCTTATTGGCTGCTTCGGCTTGGCCGTTGGTTTGGGGGTGCTCCACCGAGGTCGGCAAGTGCTTGATTCCGAGTTCTTGGAGGAAGACTTCGAATTCTTCTGCGATGAACTGCCGCCCGTTGTCAGTGACAATAGTGTGGGGAATTCTGAATCTGCAAACAATGTTTTTCCATGTGAACTTTCGCACGTTTTCCGTGGTGATCTTGGCAAGTGGGCACGCCTCGATCCACTTGGTGAAGTAGTCGATTGCCACCAGGAGGAACTTTAACTGACCCTTCGCGGGGGGGAAAGGCCCAAGGATGTCCATTCCCCACTGGGAGAAAGGCCATGCTGCCATCATGTGGTGAAGAGCCTCGGGGGGCTGTCGATGCGCGTTGCCAAACTGCTGGCACTCTTTGCATTTCTGGATGTAGTTTTGGCAATCTGACTTCAAGGTGGGCCAGTAGTACCCAGCCCGGAGTACCCTGGCTGCCATCGAGCGAGCTCCGGAGTGCATTCCGCATACTCCGTGATGAATTTCCTTGACAACATAGGCTGCTTGAGATATGGTCAAACATTTGAGCAGTGGGATGGAAATTCCGCGTTTGAATAATTCACCGTCGATGATGGTGAACTTTGCTGATCGCATTCTCACCTTCCTTGCCTCATCCTTATCTGTAGGCAGGGCTCCATCTTTTAGGTAGTTCCATATGTCTGTCATCCATCCTAGCTCTTCGCTGTCGTTGACATTGACAGTTTTATCATCCAGGCTGGGTGAGTGCAAGGTTTCCTGGATAATGGTTCGGTGTTGCCCGGGCTTTTTGGTACTGGCGAGTTTTGACAGTAGGTCTGCTCTGGTGTTCTGCTCTCGCGGTACGTGTTTTATGGAGAACTCATCGAAAGACGAGATCTGTTGGGCTGCGGTATGAAAGTATCTCTGTAGGAGGGCGTCCTTTGCTTGGTACGTTCCACCAAGCTGTTCTACCATGAGTTTGGAATCGCTGTTGCAGCTTACTCTTCGAGCTCCGAGGTCCCGGGCTAATCTTAGTCCGGCGAGGAGAGCTTCGTACTCTGCCTGGTTATTAGTTGCTTTAAATCCGAACTTGAGGGATTGTTCCACGGTGATTCGGTTTGGTCCTTCCAGGATGATGCCTGCACCTCCTCCTTTGGAGTTGGAGGATCCGTCTACATGGAGGGTCCATGCTTGGGGTTCTTCTGTGGTGGCCGGCGTGAGCTCGGCTACGAAGTCGGCCAAACATTGGGCTTTTAGAGGTCCGCGGCTTTCGTACCGGATTCCGAACTCTGACAGTTCTATTGACCAGGCAATCATGCGTCCGGCAAGCTCAGGCTTTCGCAGGATTTGTTTGATGGGGTAGTCGGTTTTGACTACCACCTGGTGGCTTTGGAAGTAAGGTCGGAGTCGCCGGGCTGCGGTGACCAGTGCCAACGCCAGCTTTTCGACCATTTGGTACCTTCTTTCGGCGTCTTGGAGGACCCGACTGATGAAGTAGATTGGGGTTTGAGCCTTCTGATGCTCTTGTACAATGACGGCGCTGATGGCGCCTTCTGCCACTGCCAGGTAAAGAAGGAGGTCGGTGTTGTGATCCGGCCTTTGCAAGATTGGCGGGGTTGTGAGGAAATTTTTGAAGCTTTGGAAAGCTGCTTCACACTGGTCGGTCCACGAGAAGTCTTTTGGTTTCTTTAACAGGGTGAAAATTGGTCCCGCCTTCTCCGCAAGTTTGGGGATAAACCGGGACAGTGAGACCAGCCGTCCGGCCAGGCGTTGCACCTCTTTTACCGATTGTGGGCTTTGCATGTGTATGATGGCCTCGCACTTCTCGGGGTTGGCTTCGATTCCTCTACTGGTGATCATGAAGCCAAGAAATCTTCCTCCCCGGACACCGAAGACGCATTTCTCCGGGTTGAGACGCATGTTGTGTTTTCTGATCTGGGCGAACACCTCGGCAAGGTCGGAGGCATGGTCCGTTGCCGAGATGGTTTTTACCACCATGTCGTCCACGTAGACCTCCATGTTTCGCCCGATTTGGTGGTGGAAAACTTTGTCCATCAGCCGCTGGTAGGTTGCCCCTGCGTTTTTGAGGCCGAAGGGCATCACCCGATAACAGTAGTTGGCACGATCAGTGATGAAGGACGTGTGTACTTCATCCGGTGGATACATCATTATCTGGTTGTACCCGGAATAGGCGTCGAGGAAGCTGAGGAGGGCATGCCCGGATGCTCCGTCGACTAACCTATCGATGCTCGGCAAGGGGTACGAGTCCTTGGGGCATGCTCTGTTGAGGTCGGTGTAATCGACGCACATGCGCCACTTTCCCGAGTTCTTCTTTACTAGGACTACGTTTGCCAGCCAGGTAGTGTACCTGACTTCCCGGATGAAACCGGCGTTGAGCAGTTTCTGCGTTTCAATGATGACGGCATCCCGCCTTTCACCGCCGACCTTCCTCTTTCTTTGGGCGACCGGCTTGGCCTCTTTGTGTATCGCTAACCTGTGGCAGATGAAGTTGGCGTCTATGCCGGGCATGTCAGCGCTGGACCAAGCGAAGAGATCGGCGTTCCTGAGGATTTCTTCCTGGAGTTGTTGTCGTAGTTTGGGGTCTAATTGTTTGCTGATCTTTGTTGTTTGGCTGGGGAGCTTTCCGATTTGGAGATCGTCGAGCTCATCGACGGGACTGGGCCGCTCATCGTGAGCGTCGGATCTCGGATCGAGGTCGGTGGTTTCCTCGTGGTCAGCACGGGTTAGAACAGTGAAGTCGCTTTTGTGTTGTCTGATTGAGAGGGCAGTTTCTAGGCTGTCTATGTAGCATTGTCGCGCTTCCTGCTGGTTTGCTCTGATGGAGATGATTTTTCCGTCGTGCCCCGGGAATTTCATGGTAAGATGCGGGGTGGACACTACCGCCCCGAGTTGGTTTAGGGTTGACCTGCCGATGATGGTGTTATAGGTGGAGTTGGCCTCCACCAGTAGGTACCGAACCAGGATTTGCCGGGAGGCCGGCGGTGTTCCGAAGGTCGTCAATAGGTCCACTCGTCCTCTGGGGTGGATGGTTGCTCCTGCAAAACCGACCAAAGGTTCGGTGTGAGGTTGTACGAGAGAGTGGGGAATGTCTAACCTGAGGAATGTTGGCCAGTATAGGACATCGGCCGAGCTTCCCTGGTCGACCAGGGTCCTGCGAACTTCCCAATTGGCTAAAGTTACTGTCACGACCATGGGGTCGTCCTGATTTGGACTGATTCCGACGTAGTCGTCGTTGGTGAAAGATATGGTGAGCGAGTCTCGGTGTACAGTATACGTGGCGGGGTGTACGCGGTTGACTTTACGTAGGTGTTTTTTCCGGGACGAGCTGCTGGCGCCGCCCCCTGCGAAGCCGCCCGCAATTGTGCTTACTAATTGGTTTGGGGGGCTAGGCCCTGCTCCCCGGTCTTCCAGGTCCCGGACTGTCTCGCCGGGGCCGGGTGGTGAGTCGGAGGGACGATCGGGGTATCGCCATTGGGTTTGAGCGCGGGCAGTTGTGCTCTTTAGGATTGTCGGGTTGGCGACGCGGGTCGAGTCTCCTGAAGCTGTATGTTCATTGCTCATTTTGCGTGGGTGCTCGTCTGATACGGTTCCTGGTACGGACCGTGCGGGTAGCCGATAAGAGCTTGGTCTGATCGGCCCCACGGTGGGCGCCAAATGTTCTTACCGGAAATCTGCTGTAGAGCTGATCCGCTGGGTAAGACCGGTGAGCCTCCTTTGCTGGGTGTATTGGTGCTCCGAGATGGGGGAGGTACCTGCAAAAGAGACTCCGATGCTAAAGTTAGGGTTTGCATGAGTAATAGTCTCATATATATAATGCACGTACCTTGAGGTGATCTAGGTTTGCCTTGGGCTTTTGGGCTTGAGATAAGATATATCATGATATGATATGATATAAT